ACATCAGCCTGCATACACATATACATGTAAACACACACAAATGAGCAAAGGAAGAATCCAGGTGTGGTGCTAAATGCCTGCAATCCCATCACGTGGGAGATAGAGGCGGGAGGATCAGGTGTTCTAGGCCAGCCTCAACCACATAACAAATTTTGAGGCCAGCCTAGGCCATGTGAGATTCTTTATTTAACAACAACAACAACAAAACCCCACATGGTGGTATACACACCCTTAATCTCATCACTCAGGAAACAGATGTGGGTAGATCTTTACATAGAACTCCAGGTCAGCACTACATAGTGAGCCCCTGTCTCAAAACAAACAACAGCAAAAAACCAGGCATGGTGGTTTAAATCTGTAATCCCAGTACTTGGAAAGCAAAGGCAGGAGGACTGATGTAAATTCAAGGCCAGCTCCATCTATATAACAAGTTGGAAGCCATCTGGGGCTATACATATGACCTTGTCTTAGGGGAAAGAAAATGGTGGAAGCTGGGAACGCTGTGCCTTGTGCCTAGAACTGACAGTCTCGTGCTCTCCCACACTCACTTCAGTGCTACCCAACCACAGCTTTGCAGCAGTTAACACTTCCTGAGATGGGGTGGGGACTGCTTAGATACTTGACTTTACTTGACTTGAGACTTTAGCCCTTCCTGCTCTGGCATTCCCTCCTGAGAATTTCATAGCTGCCACATCAGCTTTGGTAAATTTGCCCTATGTATTATCTAGTTTTTGTTTATTTGTTCAAAGTTTGGGGTGTTTGTTTTGTTTTGCTTTGGTTTTTGAGACAGGGTTTCTCTGTGTAGCCCTAGCTGTCCTAGAACTCACTCTATAGACCAGGCTGCACTCATAGAGATCTGCCTGCCTCTGTCTCCCGAGTGCTGGAATTAAAAGTGAACCACCACCACCACCACCTGTTTTTTTTGTTTGTTTGTTTTTTAATGGGTGCTGGAAGTGGAATCCAGCTCCTCATATATGCTGAGCACATGCTGTATTGCCAAGCTACACTCTCCAGCCACAGCCTTACTTTTTAAGAAAGAGCAGATAGAGGGGCTGGAGACATAGTTGAATGGTTAAGAGTACTTGTTGATCTTGCAGAGGGACCAAAGTTTTATTTCCAGCACATGTGTGGTGGCTCACAGTCCCAGTCCAGGGTATCTAACAGCCTTGTCTGGCTTCTTTGAATGCTGCACACATGTGGTCCAAGTACATAAATACAAGCAAAATAACTCATACACATTTAAAAAAAGCAAATGAAGGAAGACAGGGTGCCCTTTACTGCCCCATGCCTCTTCCATTTCTGTTACTGTCTCAGAGGTCTGTGTAGTCACCCCTGCGCACGGTGACCCCGTCTTACTGCTCCTGTCCTTTCTGACCAGGAACAAGATCACCATGATTGCTGAGCCTCTCGAGAAAGGCCTGGCTGAGGACATCGAGAACGAAGTGGTCCAGATCACCTGGAACAGGTTAGAAGGGCTCCGCTTGCAGCGCTCACACTGCGGCTTCTTCGCCTGCTTCCGTGACGCCATCCATCCTCCTTTGTTGTCCTGATATGATATGGGCAGACTGGCTCACTGTCTTCCAGAAAGGAAGGAAGCCACTGTCTCCTCTTTCTTCCAGGAAGAAGCTGGGAGAGTTCTTCCAAACAAAGTATGACTGGGATCTGCTGGCTGCCCGTTCCATCTGGGCCTTCGGTCCTGACGCTACAGGACCAAACATCCTAGTGGATGACACGTTGCCCTCGGAGGTAGGGTAAAGAGTACTGCTGGGAGGCCTGTGGCGAGGCATTTGCCCTGGAGCGAGGAAACTGCAGTGCCTTCTTCCCTGTTGAAAGCAGCCTCACACAGCCATACTTACCTCCTCCATCTAACTCAGTGGCTGTTGTCAGCGTATTGCTAAGAACCCTAATGTCTGTGTGTAGGTGGACAAGGCACTTCTTGGCTCAGTGAAGGACAGCATTGTTCAAGGTTTCCAGTGGGGAACACGTGAGGGACCTCTCTGCGATGAATGTAAGTCCACCAGCAATTTCCTGACCTAATCCCCAGGACACTTGCTCCTAGCTGCATGAGGTGACGGAATAGGGATGGGTTTCCCATCTTTGGGACTCATCAGGAAAAACAACTTGGGGTACACTGAGCTATCCCAAGTCTTTAGTCAGCCTCTTCCCTGCTCCCTTCCTATCTCGGTGCCATCACTTGGCACAACCCTAAATGAAGGAATTTCTAGACTTTGTTTGTTCTTAACTCCCGAGTAGAACTTGTCTTTGGTGTACTGAAGAGAGATACACGAGGGTAATCAGGTTGGAGTGATTTATTGATACAAACTAGGCTGTGTAGACCAAATGCAATTTGTAGAATATGGTCTAGACAACTGTTCAGAACCAGCATGTAGACTTGTAAGAAAGTTCCATTGTCATAGCATGGCCTGAATCAGATGCTGAGTCCATGTTCAAATGCTGACTTGTTTGCTGCTGGCCTTGCTAATCTGATGTGGTAAATTTGTATCTTATCTTCGACTAGCTGCACTATGGTCTCTGTAGCATGTTACCATCTCCTTTTCAGTGATCCGGAATGTCAAGTTTAAGATCCTAGATGCAGTGGTTGCCCAGGAACCCCTCCATCGGGGTGGAGGCCAGATCATTCCTACAGCCAGGAGGGTGGTCTACTCTGCCTTCCTCATGGTGAGTGGAGCTGCAGGGAGCTGTCAGCTTCCCTGGATAGAGAATTAAGTGGAGGACCAGGCAGAAGCCAAGGACCCAGAAGGTCCAGGAGACCCTTTATAGTCCTCACACTGTCTTCCTCGGCCTGAGCCCCGTCTTGCTCTGTTGCAGGCCACTCCTCGTCTGATGGAGCCTTACTACTTTGTAGAGGTCCAGGCCCCTGCAGACTGTGTATCTGCTGTTTACACAGTCCTGGCCAGGCGCAGGTGAGCGACCTGTTGGCAGGGAGGGTACTTGACAGCAAGAAGCCTTTGGCTGCTGGGGGGCGGGGGGAGGTGGCCCCAGCTATTGCTGTCTTGCCCTTTCCACTCCAGAAGCCCACCAAGCTTGTTTTCCACAAGGAAAGAATTGGCAGAGTGAAGTAGTGATGGGCTTGTCCATAGGGCCCCTCTCTTCTGTATCCCTGCTCTTGCCTCCTCCCGAGAGGACCCCCAAGCCCATTCCCTCTGCAGAGCATATTCCATTAGGTCTTTATTGGATGGTGCTGGGCTAGGATACACATTGCCCTTGTCTTGGGGCCTGTGTACATCTAGGGCCTTGGCCTTTGTTTTTCTCTCTCAGGGGGCATGTGACTCAGGATGCACCTATACCAGGCTCCCCTCTGTACACCATCAAAGCTTTCATCCCAGCCATCGACTCTTTCGGCTTTGAGACTGACCTCCGCACGCATACCCAGGGCCAGGCCTTTTCCCTGTCTGTCTTCCACCACTGGCAGGTGAGGAAACCTGGCCAACTTGGCCTCCCAGTTCAGCACATTGCCCTCCTGGCCAGTTCCTCTTCTGTCCAGATGTCCTCTAGGACATTCTATAGCCCTGGAGAAGGTTCCTCCTTCTGGGCCTGGATCCTCTGGGAAGCTGCCTCGGCTACCTGAAATCTCTGTGTTCCAGATCGTGCCTGGTGATCCTCTGGACAAGAGCATTGTCATCCGCCCGTTGGAGCCACAGCCAGCCCCTCACCTGGCCCGGGAGTTCATGATCAAAACCCGTCGTAGGAAGGTGTGTGTTCTTCAAATCATTGCCATCCCTCACCCCCAGGGTCTCCACAGGACTTGTATGTGGAATTTCTTCCTCTTGGAGGGTAGTGTACTACTGTTTGGAAAGAACAGTCCCTTTATTGCTCGGCTAAGCAGACCTAGGGCCCAAAGGGAACAGAGGAGCTATAACCGTACCTTAAAGGCACAAATCATCAGACAATGTAGACCAGCCTTTCCCCCTCAAGCACAGGACTGGATGCCCCTGTATTCAGTTACCCCTCCTGTGGACTTCACTCTAGTGTCTGACTCTGTTCTCCTCAGGGCCTGAGTGAAGATGTGAGCATCAGCAAGTTCTTTGATGATCCTATGTTGCTGGAGCTCGCCAAACAGGACGTTGTGCTCAATTATCCCATGTGAGTGCTGGGGCTGGCAGCTCCTGCTCCCTGCCATGCCTGCAGCCCTGGACTCAAGCTGAGACCTGTGTAACTGGGTCTCCGTGCTCTGAGCATCTGGGAACTGCTAAGGGCCCCTCTGAACAACCCAGAAACCTCCATGCCAGTGTCCCAGGGAGGAAGGGGCATCTGGCCTTCCAGATCCTTCTGTGGCCTCTGTGGCCTGGCTCCATTCCCAAGGAACAGAGAGGAGCTTGGGCCCAGGAAAGAAGAACGAACGAGAACAGGATGAAAGCGTTTAACCCCAAGGGGCCTGTCTTCAGGATTTACATGGAATTTTATTTCTTACAAGTTCAACCCTAGCCATGGTTTGTAAATGAACAGAACATTCTGCCCTCTGCCTTGGTCACTGCTTTCGTCCCTCACCCCACCCTCTGCCTGTCTAATCTGAGCACTTACATTCTGGGTATGTGATTTCCCATGAGGCATTACTGCCTCTGCTCCCAGCTGCAGCTGCCTTCCTGACAGGGTCCCTAGGGGAGCAGCCCGTGGTGGAAGGAATGCCTGTGTCTGATTCAGTATTCCCATGAGCCTCAGGGCCCCTCCCCAGCCCCCGCCTTCCCATTCCCATTCCCATTCCAGAATGCTTCTGGCTGGACATGACTTGGTACAAGAGTTGCTGGGACCCTGGGAACTGTGCTCGGAGACTGCTGCTCCTTGAGTCTCTCTCCCTTGAGTTGGGGCCAGAGCCCTTTGGTTCCCACCCATTGTACTGGGCCCACCCTCCAGCCACCGCAGTTCCTCTCCTCTCCTCTGCTGGGCTCTGCTCTGCTCATGAGTAAGACACTTAACTTTCTTCAACATCGCTTTATTAGGTGCTTACAGAGACGGCTGGGGAATTGGGCCATCCTGCCGCCTCAGGAGTCTGACTTCTCGGGGTCCTCTGACGCCCTCTTGATGTAATCTCTGTACATTGTGTACATGGCACCTGCATGAAGAAGGAAGGGAGGTGACCTCTGGTGCCTGAGCCCTAGATCCTTTTGCCCATCCTTCAAGGTGTGGGTCCTGGTGGCTCTACTCTAGCTTTTCCCTTGAGACCCACCCAGCTTTCTCATCTTTCTGCCCCAGGCCCCAACAGCTGCCCCAGACATCCATACTCGGGGAGCAACTCCTCACAACAGTTCATACACTTTGATGTGATGAGTGGGCTAGCCACGGGTGGTTCTTATGCATGGGGAAACTGAGGCCCAGTGAAAGGAACTAGCCCACAGCTCACAAGTAGCTGCTGCTGCTTCCTAGTTCTCACCTTTGGGGAAAATTCATGAAGCAGGCTGTCTTCATGTCCTATTACTCAGCAACAGTGACCAGTGGGGAGCCCTGCAAAGGCCTCAGTGCAGGGATTGATCAAGGAATTGGTGTGGATTCTAGTGTGGGCAGCAGGGACTTGAACTTTGGACCAGTTAACTGAGGACACTCTGCTTTGTCCCTCTTCTCCCTCTGACCCCCACCACGTTGCTTACCGAGCATGATCGCGCCCACAGCGCATGCCTGTGCTGCCACTCGGGTGTGAATCAGATGTATGGACAACTTGGTGGAACCTCGAGCCTTCAGCCGGTAAATCCTGTACGCTGCTACCACCAGGCAGCCTCCTACACCTGTGGGCAGAGAACAGAATCACTGGTCTTGTGTCCAAGTCTCCTCTGGGCTTGCAGGGTGGGCACTGGGTACTAAGCAGATTCTTTCATGCATCTAAATTTGGAATATTGAGTTTTCTCACAATGGCATTTTTCAAGTGCCTGTGACCTTCATGAAGTCCCTTCCCCCTGTGCAGCAAGTTCATTGTCATGACTATGCATAACCCCACCTGAGCTTTTCCACCCACTCCTGGCTCCCACCTCTTTGTTCAGGTTTTCATATTCTAGAGCCTGGAAGGGAAACCTTGAGACAACCCTAGACTGCAATAGAGACCCCTATCCTGAGGCTGCTGTTAGTACACTGTGTCCCAGTGTACTTTGCATTCAGTCAGGTGCCACCTCCAGCCATGCAGGCTCACTGTATTCCAAGTTTGTTCCTTGTGCAGTGGGTGGGCCACTTGAGTTCTCTGACCTTCTCATTCTTTAAAAGGACCAAGTCATGAAGTCCCAGAGAGGAGGTATCCACCCCAACCCTGTTCTTCCCCCACTCACCTATAGGCACCAATGGAGACTCCCTGGTTTTCCTTAGGAACTTCTCAGTCAGGTTGTCCTCACCCTCAGGTGGCACCCACCAGCCCTTGTTAGCAGACATGATCCCCGGTCCAGATGTTAGCTTCTGTGTGCCTAGGCTTCAGCCTAGCCCTAGAGGGAGGTCGTCTGCAGTGACTCTGATTCTTGGTCTTCAGGGGAAAGGGAGATTACCTGCTAAGACCTTCCCATGCCCAGCACAGCCTGCACTTGAAAAGACGCCCTGTTCTCTCTCAGGTGTTTGGCCACTGGTGGCTACTTTCTTCATGTCCCTAACATCTGCCTCCTCTCCAGTTCATCTGACTTTCCTGTTCTCTCGCTTCCTGCTCCATCTCTGCATCCCTATGGGTGGGATCCTCTGGCCAAGAAAAACAGCTGGAAAAACCCAGAGGAGACTGGAACACTCTGAATCTTGGGGCTCCTTTGGTCTTGGATCTTTTGACAGTTGCTCCTAAGGGAGCTACAGAGGAAGATCTGACTCTAGGGAGCCAGAGCTGTTCTGGATAGACGCAACAATGGTTAACTAAACCACTGGAGCAGATGTCAATGAGACATTGATATATTTTGCACCTCAAGACTAAAGGAACAAATTCTGGTCCTCAAGCTGCTCACCAGCCTACTACCTCCATCCTGAGCTTGTAGACCCCTAAAAATGTTTGCTCTGGTCATAGCTAAAGTCCTCTGAGGAGGGGTTCAGCCAGTAGGATGCCCTCTGACTACAACCACAAGACAAGGTCTCTGCTTGAGCCAGCTCTTCCTGGTAGCCCCTGAGTCTCCAGCATTCCCGTGCTTACCTAAGAGATAGATGGCCAGAAAGTGGAGCATGAACAGCCAAACCAGTGCTCAGTATCTGCTGCTTTGCATCAGCCGAAAGCTGATGCCAGAGTTGTCACTATGGGGTCAGGGAAGCAGTGTCTTTGAAGTCATGTAAGCAGAGAGCAGAGGGCAGGGCATCGTCAGGCTTACCCCACCCCACCCCACCCCCATCTGCTGAGCTCCAGATGCAGCAAAGTGAGGTTAGACCTGAAGGAGCAGAGAGACCTTAGCTGATGTTTGTGCACACATGTGAGTGCCCTGTGGAGAACTAGAGAAGCGTGTTGTGGGGCTTTTCTGGTCTTAGCCTTGGTCTCTTTTTGAACCAAGCCTGTAACCCCAGCTAGTTAGGAGACTAAGGAAAGAGAATTACACACTCAAAGCCAGCCTGGGCTACAGAGTGAGTTCATAACCAGCCTGGACAACTTAGTGAGACCCTGTCTCTGGAAAAGAAATAGGTGTGTTGGTGTACACCTTAATACCAGCAGGTGAACCGCTGTGAGTTCCAGGTCAGCCAGGGTAATGTAGACCCTGTCTCAAAAATGTAAAACATCATGGCAGTGGTGGCACATGGCTTTAATCCCAGCACTCGGGAGGTAGAGGCAGGCAGATCTCTTGAGTTCAAGGCCAGCCTGGTCTGCAGAGTGAATTCCAGGGTTCTTGGAGGAGCCCTGTCTTGAAAAACCAATAAATAAATAAATAAAAATAAAAAAGAGAGTTGAGGACTTAGAGTGTAGCTCAATGGTAAACACTTTTTTTTGCAAGTGGGAAGTTCTAGGTTCTTCTCCAGTTGTGAGGGACTGGGGTTTCAAGGAGTCTTTTTGTTGTTGTCTGAGACAGGGTCTCATTTAGCTTTGGCTGGCTTGGAACTCAATGTAGACCAGGCTGGTCTCCAACTCACCAAGATTCACCTGCCTCTGCCTCCCAAGTGCTGGGATCAGTGAAACGTGCCACCACACCCAGCCACAACCAAGGACTTTTCTCAGGAGTGTGAAACAGCTGGAATGATGCTCACTGCTGTCTCATGGCAGTCCCTGACTTTGCATGAGTGGAATTCTCTCTATACCAGGTATTTGTCTTTCAGACCTGACCTGTCAGAGGGAGGGGCTGAGCTTCTAAGACACCAAATTACTTGTCCAAAGATACACAGCTACTAAATAATGTTGTCGTAATCTGTCCCGTGTCTGTACTCTGAAACCCTTTCACACTGGACCATCCTGGCATCCCTTACTAAGAAGCAGCTGTTGCTAAGCCAGTGGGAACAGGTCAGGATGCACTGTGGAGGGTCCCCCTCCCTTCAAGGCCTTTGTTCCCTCCATACATCACTTAGTCTCTGTGTGCGTGCGTGCTTGCCCATGTTCCCCAGAGGAGCCTTTTTGGTACTGGAAATGTGTCCAGCAGCTGATGTCTCTCATTCTCCCTAACACTCACTGCTCCACGAACAAGCTCAAGGTCACAGCAAATCCCCAGGGCCATCGCATATCCCCAGTGTCCATGAGAACTCGCCTCTCGGTCATTCACACACACACACTCCTGTGCTGCCTCTCCATGGCCCCATACTGGCCCGAGTTCTCAAGAGATGCATGGTATACGCTCCTCTCATGTAGGCTACCGGAAATGCCGGGATGAGACAAGACAGGGGTGGTGATCAAATTCAAATCTTTTAAAAACTGGGACAAAGGGCTAGACATGGCTAAGTGGTAAAAAGAACTTGTTCTTGCAGAAAATCCTCATGGCGGCTCACAACTGCCTGTAAGTACAGTTTCAGGGGCCCCTGTGCCTTCTGGCCTCCACAGACACAAGACATGTATGTTGGGCACAAGCATACATGCAGCTCCTCACACATATACCTAAATATAAATCATTATTGGGCTGGAGTGGTCAAGATTTTGAATTTGGATCCCAGCAAACATGTCTGATAACTGAAGACTGCCTGAAACTCCAACTCTCAGAGATCTGTCGCCCTGGCACATACCCATTCATGTAAATGTGCACACACATGCACACATACAACAAAAATGTTTTTTTGAGACAGTCTCACCAGGTGTTGGTGGCGCACGCCTTTAATCCCAGCATTCGGGAGGCAGAGGCAGGCAGATCTCTGTGAGTTCGAGACCAGCCTGGTCTCCAGAGCGAGTGCCAGGATAGGCTCCAAAGCTACACAGAGAAACCCTGTCTCAAAAAACAACAAAAACAGTCTCACTATGGTGCCCTGGCTAGCCTGGAATTTGCTGTGTAAACAGGCTGCCCTTGAACTCAGAATGCTCCAACTGCTTCTGGTGAATTAAAGTGCTGGAATTAAAGGCATGTACCATCACACTCTGCTAAAACCTTACAATTATTACTATTACATGAATGAATATATGATGCATGTGTGGGGCATGTACATGCCATGGCGCATGTGTGGTGGTCAGAGAGTTGATTCTTTCCTTCCAACTTTTACATGGGTTCTGGCCGGGCGTTGGTGGCGCATGCCTTTAATCCCAGCACTCGGGAGGCAGAAGCAGGCGGATCTCTGTAAGTTTGAGACCAGCCTGGTCTACAAGAGCTTGTTCCAGGACAGCCTCCAAAGCCACAGAGAAACCCTGACTCCAAAAACAAAAACAAAGAAACAAAAAAAAAAATTGCATGGGTTCTGGGGACTCAAACTCTGACAGGCTTGGTGGCAAGCACTTTTACTCAGAGTCATATCTTAAAAAAGAGTTTCTGGGTTTTGAGACAGGGTCTCACTGTGTAGCCCAGGCTAGCCTGGAATTTGTCATGTAGATTAGGTTGGCTTTGAACTCAGAGCTCTTTCTCTGATTTCTGAGTCCCTGGATTAAAGTGTGAACTACAAAACCAGCTAATGAAAGGAGATATTTAGTGCAGAGTTCAGCTCCACAAGTACCTGAGATACCTGACATCAACCTCTGGCCTCTGCATAGACACCTGTGCACAATGGCGTGTGCACATCCACACACACTAACACATACATGTGCACAGGGGCATGTGCACATCCACACACACTCTAACACATACATGTGCACAGGGGCATGTGTGCACACACACTCTAACACATACATGTGCACAGGGGCATGTGTGCACACACACTCTAACACATACATGTGCACAATGGTGTGTGCACACACACACTCTAACACATACATGTGCACAGGGGCATGTGTGCACACACACACACTCTAACACATACATGTGCACAGGGGCATGTGTGCACACACACACATCTAACACATACATGTGCACAGGGGCATGTGCACACACACATCTAACACATACATGTGCACAGGGGCATGTGTGCACACACACACACTCTAACACATACATGTGCACAGGGGCATGTGTGCACACACACACACTCTAACACATACATGTGCACAGGGGCATGTGTGCACACACATCTAACACATACATGTGCAGAGGAGGAACTCATCTGTAGAAGAAATTTTATCCAGTTCTGACAACCTATCTGACCACCTTGCAGGACAGACCTGAGGTAAACACGGACAGGTAAATGACACGCTGGACCACCACACCCTCACCAGGACCGCTTAATGATGTAGACTTCTTCCCCTCCATCAAAACTGAAGCTTCATTTCAGTGCACAAGGATGGCTGTCGGGGTCACTGGACCCCTTTATATTCCCTTTTCTCAGCAGGACCACACTGAGTGAATTTCCTTTCTCATCTTTTGTTAGATAGGGTCTCACTGGCCTGGAGCTTGCTGTTAGACCAGGCTGGCCTCAGATCCCAGATTTCCCTGCCTCTGCCTCTGCCTCTCCAGTGCTGGTGTTAAAGGCGTGACCACCATGCCTAGCCGTTATTCATCTATTAAAGGCGTGACCACCATGCCTGGCCGTTATTCATCTCTTTAGTAGGCATGGGAGAACATAGGCTGAACCTAGCTTGTTGGGGCTTCAGGAGCCCAGGCTATTACCAAAAAAACAAAACCAACAAAACAAAAGACTCTGTAACAGAGACTATTATTATTCCCATTTCACAGATGTAAAACTGAGGCTCTGAGCCAGGGGTGGTGATACACACCTTTAATCCCAGCATTCGGGAGGCAGAGGCAGGCAGATTTTTAAGTTTGAGGCCAGCTTGGTCTACAGAATGAATTCCAGGACAGCCAAGGCTACACAGAGAAACCCTGTCTTAAAAAACAAACAAACAAACAAAAAACTGAGGCTCCTTTGAAGTACTTACGTAAAATCACTGTATGCAATAGAGAAAACCAAACATCTAACCATCCTTA